AACCACACTCTTTGTTCTGTGCATACACGTGTACTATATTTAAGTTGAATTTTGAATGAGGGACAGAGGTGGGTTGCTCCCAGTTCGGACTGGTTTGGGTGAACCGGTAGAGGGAATTGGGCCTAGGTCGCCGAATGACTGGCTGGCCATGCCCCGAACCAGCCCGCTCGGACGCTCACCCTGCCTCACCTTCACCACGTGGATCCACAGAATTGCCTCCTCCTGCCTACACATGGGTAAGCAGCATTCGTGCTTGCCTAAACCCCCTCCCCGCTGGCTGCAGCCCGGGCCCTGCCTGGTCAACTGGGTGGATGGCTGGGAAAGCGGTGAACGAGCGGCCGGGACCAGCCTGGCCTCCAATACTCTGTCCGGCAGGGGCAGTGAGCAGTAAAGCAAGTGAGCCCTGGGCCAGCATCCCTGCCTCTTTTCTCCGAGAGCCAGGAGGCATGGCCAGCCTCCCCTGCTGCTGAGCCATTCCCTTGCCATCCATGTGGAGCCTTTGCCAGAGGGGTGCCTCCCATTTCACCCCATGCATGGCTCCTCCCCACTGGCTGCAACCCAGGCTCTGCCTGGTCAGCAAAGCAGTGGGCATGTGGCCGGGACCGGCCTGGCCTCCAATGCTCCATCTGGCAGGGGTGGTGGCAATGAGCAGTAAGGGATGCGAGCCCCGGGCTGGCATCCCTGCGTCCTTCCTCCGAGAGGAAAGCAAGGCTTATTTGCCAGCCTCCCAGTTAGCAAAACAAATTTTCGCCGGTTCTGTGGGCGTGGCTAGGTGGGGGGGGATGTGACTCAATTGGCATGGGTGATGGCAAGTGGGTGACATGCTCCCCCCAGCCATGCCCACAGAACTGATAGTAAAAATGTTTGAAACCCACCCCTGAAGAGGGAGAACCAGAGCCATTTATCCACACCCCTTACTCAAAAGCTTCATTTGGAGGAGGATTCAGAAGTAGCAGCCAGTGAAGTCTGCAAAAGCTATTAACCCCCTTCAGTAGAATGTGGGATTGATTTCCGTGGGCCTTCCTGTCTGGCAGGGCCTTCCTCCCAAGCACACTGGGCAATCACCAATCAATACCCTCAGCAGACTGGGACTGGGCAGGGATCCACATTGGCTGAAAGAGTTCCTTTGCCCTTAACCAAGCCAATTTTACTCCCTGATGGCAAGAGGAAAAGGCAGTGGTTTAGCCGTTCTCAGTAACACTGTTTTTGTTTTCTTCTTTCTTTCCCTCTTCTGAAGCACTGAAGCTAGCACGGCCTCTGGAGTCTGATCTTACACAACCTTCCCAAGAGAGATGTCGAGTTAAAGAAAGTGTGAGATTGCTCACTCTTTCCTCAACCCTGAAGGAGGTTCCTTGGGTTTATCTCTCAATGTTTTGTCAGATCTTGCACTAAATAGAAAGGAAGTGAACAGGAGGATCTACTTGAAGGCTTACAAAATAATCTATAAGTACTCCAGGTATCTTTCCTATAAAATGTACTAACATACACTTTTAGGGAGGTTCTTTACTCTCATAGTGAGTAAGCAAGCTTTTGGGGGGCAGGCCTGTTTCCTTTCAGCAAATCTGATAAATAATCTGATGTTTTCAAGGTTCCCTCAAACACAATGCATTACTTCTATTTTAGCAATATTTTTAAATGACAGAAGCTTTTATCCCCCCCCTCCCCCCCAGCTGCACCTATCAATTTCTATACAACAGGAAACCAAGGAGCTGTTTACTCAGAAATTTGTGTGGAATTTACACTACAGCTATTCAATGTAGTTTTGCATTACCTTTGGCATTCTACACCAGCTTTCCTCAACCTGTTTTCCTTCCAGATGGATAATCCTTAATTTCTACAGCTCTTATCAATGGGCTTTTGAGGGAATTTGAGAACTGAGGGCTCCTCATCTAGATATGCCCAGATTTGGTAAGGCTTTTTAATTTGTGTAATACAGATGAGTCACTTATAAAGGAAACATAATTCTACTGTTAATTCTGCTAACCTTGAAATACTCACCTGGTATGTAGAAACTGGAGAAGCTATATATGGCGTGATAGATGTTTGAGTGATCATTCTGTTTGTTGCAATACTGTATGGTGAGGGGTAAAATCTAGAAAATACATATATCTTCATTATTAACTTTTTAAAAGATACAGGAAAATCAACTGCATTTATTAAGTGCTTAATTTACATACCCGTTTTGTAAAGCAGCTGTAGTTGGATCGTAAGTGAGTGTCATCCCAGCCTTTAGGAAAAGGAGCAATTAATCATCAATAAGCAATGGTTAGTAACCCAATCGAAACATTAACACCAGCCCATCTGTTTGAATTAATAAAAAATGATACAATGACAGCAGAGTATTTCAAGAAATGTTTTTTTACCATAATTAATATACAAAAAGTAAAGTATTTAGGCATTTCAGTACTTATTCAATGAAACACAAGAGTTCCAATCAAAATATATTTTCACGTTAATTTAGCTTTGGCACTCAGCCACATATCCCCCAATGAGAGTATTTGCAATGCACCATTGCACTGCCCTGACTTTCCACAAGCATGCTTTGAAAGCCCAATGCAAATCTCAGCTACTATATATCTTGTTATTTACCGAACTTTTCAGGATATGCTGACTCATGATAGAAATGTGCTCACATAACCATGTGCCAGAATGTAGCTGAGCTGTTAAACCACACAATATGGACTCCACATGTGTGTTAGGAAAGAGGGTATTTTCAAGAATAGCAATAGTTGGAGCTCCTTCCCTTGAGATGCACCAGCTGGCTAAAATACTAAGAAGCCTTCAAATGTTTATGAAACTTTGGAGGTGTGTGTCAATGCCCCTTGCTTTTCTGACCTGACTTAGAGGCTATTCCGCTTCACAGTGCTGTGATTAGGTTACGGTTTGATTCGATTAAAAGATATTTTATTGCCATTTCCTTCCTTTGCTGACATGCAATTTTGATTCTATTGCATTTTGTTTATTGCTCTTATTGATTCGACTCTTAGTCACAAAGCAGTAGTTTTTAACAAAATTAAAATAAAAGAAAATATCCCTAAAAAGGGATTGCATATTTATGATTTTAATTTCAATGTTTATATTATCAAGAAAGCAAATAGTACAGAATTGTAAAACCCTGTTGCACAATACAGAGGAGTGACAAAACAAAGTACTATTTACATTACTTTCTTAATCTACACACATAAACATTAAAAGGTTGAAATGAGAACTTACAAGTCTCACCTCGCCTTCTCTGTGCCATGCTCTTCCATTTTGTATATATTTGTTCTGATTCTGTCTCTTTTTTTGTCCTCCATCCGCAAACTTGCACAACAAAGGTTCTGTAGGAGCTAAACAAAATCCTTTAGGATTAATTTGATGTACTAGTCTCTGGGATTACAAAATGATATATATTCTTCCCACCATTTGAAGAGTGCCATCTTATATATCTTAATTATCTAGATCAGCAACCTAGTATACATAAATGTGTGCAGATTACTGAATCAATAGGACTATTATCTTTACATCCAGCCAAGTCAGTAAGATGAATATAAAGTAACAGGTAGTCCTTGACATATGACCTGAACTGATCCTGAAATTATTAAGTTAAAGCACTACTGTAAACGGAAATAATTTTCTAGCCTCTTTTGTGGCAGTTGCTAAGTGAACACAGTGGTCATTAAGTGAATGTATTCATGTGAATGGGCCGAAACCAGCAAAAAACATATTGAATTATAGTCACAAGAATGCAGAACATCATGACCTATTGTAAAGATGACCCATCCCACATGCATTCACGTGACTATAGGGATTAGGAGAGACGATTTATAATGGCCAGAATGCTGCATAGCCCCCTTTCTGTGGCTGTCATAACTTCAAAGTCATAAAATAACCAGTCATTAAGCGAGGACTCTCTGTAGGAGAATGCTCATTTCAACTCAGTACATTTTCAACTACTGATTTCCCCCTTTCTGTTTATTATACAGTTGTACATTAGATAATGGTAAAGGTAGACAAATACATTAATAGAGGATTTATTCACTGACACAGAGAAATGCTCTAGACTAGAGGTTCTCAACTTGTGGTCCATTGACCTCTGGAGTGGCTGCAATGTCATCCCAGCAAATCCACAAATGTTTGAAGAAATATTACAATTTAAATCTTGAGTTAAGTCTTGGTGGTGTGTGGCCATGGTCCGTGGGCACAAAAGGTTTTATAGGGGGTTCATGGTGAAGAAAATGTTGAGAACCACTGCTCTAGTGCATTCATGTTAGAGTTTTTCTCATTAGTTTTAAGGCAGAAGTTCTTTAAGACAGAAGTCTCCTATCTTCATATTCAGATACAATTTTTTCTAGCTTTTAGCGAATTTATCCTTTTGAAAATAGGCAGGCATGTGTGCACACAAAGAGAAAAGAGAGAAAGTTTGTGGTATCTGGATTCAGCAAGTGCAAGCCTGTAATATTTATTGTCATAAGTCTCACTGAATTCAACAGCTCCTATTGCTATATCTATGCCGAAACAGAATCTTTCTAGTGCAACTGTTCAGCAGTTCTTAATCCAAAGAAAGTATGTTTTTAAATTTTAGTCCTGCTTAATCAACATACTCCTTTCAATCCCCTCTAAATACAGATGATACACTGCACAGCTTCCCTGTTCATAGAGATTCTGCACCAGTTGAGGTACAGGTAATCCCTGATATACATCCACAATCGAGCCCAACATTTCTGCTGCTAAGCAAGACAGTTATTAAGTGAACGGCGTCCCATTTTATAACCTTTTTGCCACAGCTGTTAAGCGAATCACTGCAGTTGTCACATGGTCATTAAGCAAATCCAGCTTCCCCACTGACTACTTATCAGAAGCTCACAAAAGGAGATCACAACATGGGACACGGCAACCATCACAAATACATGCCAGTTGCCAAGGATATTCCGAGATAAATTACATTCACACCTACATGGTTGGAGGGCAAATATAGATGGTTTGAATGCAAATCCATCCATCCATCCATCCTTTTCTGCCCTTTAAATCAGAATTACAAAGACAGCAATGGATGGAAACTAATCAAAGAGGGATCCAACCTATAACTAAGGTGAAATTTCCTGATAGTGAGAACAATTAGCCAGTGGAACATCTTGCCTTTGGAAATTCTGGGTGCTCCATCACTGGAGGCTTTTAAAAAGAGACTGGACAGCAACCTTCTGAAATGGTATAGGGTATGAGTAGAGGATTGGACTGGAAGATCTCCAAAGTCCCTTCCAACTCTGATATTCTACATTTTATGAGATTGTAATATGTAACGTGTTCATTATAAACTGAAGTTTTTATCTAACTTCATAAACATATTCAATGGCTAGGGATTCTAAGAAATTCTATTATAAAAAAATCTAGTGAGTGGAGGAAGATTGCTTTAAGCTCTGAAAGACTGAATCTTGACGATGCTTTAATTTTTAAGTACTTCTGTATGGAAAGATAGAATGATGAATGAATACCTGAAAATAGTCTGCAAATGTAATTTGAACTGTAAAGTTCACGTTAAGAGGAATGTGTCAGCTACAAACATGATGGGTGGAAGCTGGCAGATACAAAAAAAAGAGGTCCTTTTTGGCAGTGACACTATATATATGGAATTTCTTTCCCCCAGGAGATGCAATTAGCTTTCTTCCTGTTGACTTTTACGTGGGCTTTTAGTGGCTCCATTTTTCTTCAGATTTTATCATAGAATGGCTGACTGAACAGAACTATTTTGACTAAAACACAGCTGTTCCTCCCTTTCCTTGTAATACACTTAATGACTCCATAGAAGCACTACCATAAAGTCGGTTGTTAATACTTTCAGCTAATAATAATTTTCCTGCTTCACTGATTTTCAGCAAACAACATCCCATAGACTATATAAACCCTGTCTCACAAAATAATAATATGAAAGATATAAACCATAAGCTTGAGAATTCTGGGATGTCTAATCATCCCAACCACTCCAGCTGCCATTTTGCATTAGCAATGCAGTAATTTGCATTTCACGTGGTGCTTTTGAATTGAATGCTATTTATAATGATAGGACATGTTGTAGTGGGAATTATTTCTTTACTACACATTTCTACAGTGAACAAAGCTAAAATTGTTGTGAAAAATTGTTTTGAGATTTCTCCATTACCTGTGAGTTCCAGTAATTTATCAATTTTCAGGAAAATCAGTTTGTTATTTTTATAAAATATAAAGACAGGGATTAGACTGAATTACACTCAGATTACATTACTTGGGCTAGATATTCAGAAGTATGTTCTCAGCCAGTTTCCTTACTAATACCTGTTTAACCCTCATTTCCAGTAAAACACGCTGAAACTTTTTAGCAGAAAGATAATTCAGCAAGAAATATAATTTTAGCACACAAATTGAATTGAAAATTATTTTATCTTGATAGTGAGTGATCGGTAACCACTTTCAATGGGTTCATATATTTAGTAACATAATCAGAAAAAGAATGTACTGTATTCCTCATCACCTCCCTCCCCAGATTTTCAATTGTACATTATTAAACCATATTAAGTTGCTCAAGGTAGTCCTCAAGATGTGACCCTATGTTCAGTTGCATGCTGCAATAGCAGCTAGGTGAAGCATCTCACTTAATGACCTCCCATCACTATTCTCCCCAATGAACTGTTAAATGAACATGCAGGTTGTTAAGCAGAGCATGGGGTGCCTCAGGAGTGGGAGAGGTCCCTGGAGGCATAGCCCTAGCCTTTCTTACTATATGAAATTGGCTCCCTAGACAAACTGGACTGATTTGTGTTAAAAAACAACAACATTTGAAACACAGTCTTGCATATTTTAGCAAATGTGGGGCATTTATCATTCTCCAGATGCTGCTGGATGAAATATCTCAGGAACAGACGAGGAAAAGCAGGATGTAAATGTAAACCATCATCATCTCCTCCTTCTCCTCCTCCATCATCATGCAATGTTAAAGAGCAGTATGATAGGCAAACTCTGCCCACAGATGCAGTTCGATCCTGATAGGGTTCAAGGTTGAGTCAGTCTTCCATCCCTCTGAGGTTGGTAAAATGAGGTCCNACACACACACACACACACACTTATACCATAGTTGCTTTTATCCCTCTCTATTAATCAAATTCTTAAGAAGGCATATGTAGAATTTTCATTTTATTTGTTTGTAAAATTTAGGCACCACCCATCTCACTCAGAGTAACTCAAGGCAATGTACAGTGAAAAACATAAAAGCCTAAATACCATTTAAAAATATGATGCATCAATAAGAGTAGCAAAAACAACAACCAAGAATTCATACCAATAATATAGTAAAGATTTTCTCACCTCAACTGGAACAGCTGCAGTGGGGACATGTGTATACTGGGGAATATAAGCTCCTTGCATAGCTGTTGTGGCAGGCATGTACTACAAAAAAGGCAGATAATACTGTATATTCAATTCAATGGAGCACAGACAAGCATGTTAGCATTTTACATATAAGCACATTGAAGCATGTTACCATCTGAGATATAAGGCCTAATAAATATTGTGTGCACCATAACTTGCTTGTAAGAGTTCTCTTTTGTTTTTGCTTAGCCATGATTCATAATCATAGTTGAAATGGCAAACCATGATTAATGTAGGTTTAATAATTCCAAACAAAACATAGTGTATTTAAAAGTAGATACAGCTTTTATCCAAATGTGTGATGGAGAGGATGGAGTAATGTAGAAAACTTGTTATAACTTATTTAGATAAACTATGATGAATTTAGCCAGTGGAGGTATTTATTTATTCATTAAAAAAAATTATATGGCCACCCAATTCATTCCTTTTGACTCTATAGGCAGCTTACAGAGCTGTGATAGTACAGATGTTAGAATACAGGCCAATTCTGTTGACTGCCGACTACCAGCAGTTCGATTCTCACCGGCTCAAGGTTGACTCCGCTTTCCATCCTTCTGAGGCCGGTAAAATGAGGACCCAGATTGTTGAGGGCCATATGCTGACTCTGTAAACTGCTTAGAGAGGGTTGCAGAGCACTATGAAATGGTATATAAGCCTAAGTGCTATTGCTATTTCAGAACAAGAATGCATGCTCCCAGATTATTAAAAAAATAAAGTCCTTGATTTACAACAGTTTGTTTAGTGACCGCTAAAAATTACAACAGCATTGAAAAAAGTGGTTTATGACCATTTTTTATCGTGATGATCTTTGCAGCAACTTCATGATCATGTAATCAAAATTCAGATGCCTGGCAACTGATTCATTTTTATGACCTTTGCTGTGTCCCAGGGTCATGTGCCCACCTTTTGCAACTTTCTCACGAGGAAAGGCAATGGGGAAGCCAGATCAACT